TTACACACCAGTCAATTAATGTTTTTTTTTCCTTTGCTTGCAAATCATATAGAAACTTCAGATTAATCTCATCACATACAGCCATTTCACAGTGTGGAGCACAAATTGACATCCAACACAGAAATAAGCTTTACAAATATTTTCCTATCGGTCAAATTCGCCGCAGCCATGCAACCAATCGCGTAATAATATAGTTTCCATAAAATTCAACTACTCAGGTTACCATAAATGAAAAAAAAATACACAATCTTAAGTCAGGGTTCGTACATTCCTTAAGAGTCCTTAGATTTTTTGGAATCAATATTTGGTCCTTAAAAGTCCGTAATTTTGGCCAAAACCAGCAAAAGGTCCTTAATTCTAATCGTCTGAAATTTCTGTCTGTTTTTACGACTGCCATTTTGAGTGTGAATTAGCATTTTGGAGGAATATTTTTGGCGATTCACTGACATATATGGTTATCTTTTGAATGGGTTCATGGGTTATAATTTTTTCTATTTCTAATATAAATGATGGGATACTCGAGTTTCTAAGCAAGAAGTGAAACATAAGCATTTCGAAATTCATTTTTTCTAATAAAGAGCTCCTAAACAACTTTTTGCTTTTAGCGATGTGAATTTTTTTTATTAACGGATCTAAATTTGGCAACTTATCAACATTTTGGCAATTTTAAGATCAGTTTCTGTAGAAAATTTTTAATTCCAAGATCTCAGAATTTTTCGACGATTTTTTTTTAAACATCATAACATTGATAAATTTCATTAAAATAATGGTAATATATTGAAATTATATTTTAAAAATACATTAAAATAAAACATTTTTATTTTTCACCATCATATTAGAAAGTTTCATTGTGGGCAGCTTATTATACAATATTTTGAATCTGAAAAATAAATAAGGTTTAATGCTGTAAAGCACAATTTACGAAACAGCTCTTAGCAAAAGCAAAATTAGCTATGCAATTAAATTAAAAATGTATTTTTAATTTTTTCATAGTTTTCCCATGTAATTGTCTCAGAATATGCATCAGTTTTCTCTCTATAAAATTAATTTGACACTTTTTTTTTTTTTTTTTTTTTTTTTTTTTTTTTTTTTTTTCTTTCCAAAATATTTCTTCCTTTTTGATGTTACAGAATTGGTAATGATAATTTTTCATTAGTATTTTAGACATTGCAGCTTGGAAAGTTAAGAAAGATCTGAAGGCAAGATTTATAGACCCTTGATTGTAGAAGATTCGAGAAATATGTGGCAAAATGGAAAATGTCTCCATGGTATCAACAAGTAATGGATGTATTTTACAGAAAGTTTGCGATGAATTTCTTACTTTTGGAGAACGTCTGGAAAAACAATGAAAACATAATATTTGAATGTTTTACTCCTCATACTAGAATCTTTTTCTTAACATGTTTATCTTCCCTTTATTTTCTCTACTTTTCACTAGCCACAAATGTGGAAAATACTTCTAATCTTGGTAGGCAGATCTAATCTTGGCCTTAATGGGCAGGTATTATAGAAAGAGATTTTTTATTAATAAAGAAATTGAAAACTTTCAATCAAAAGATTCATCTAATATGTCTTAATGCTGGCAGAGCTGGGCACTAGGCTTTTTCCCACCTGATGCAATTTCTGTGGATCCTAATTCTGCTGCTTAGTGCCTTTCTAAATTCTGCTTCCAATGCCTGCTCTAAATTCTAAAAGTTTTGCTATTTAAATAAGAGGCTTATTTAAATCTTTGTCTGATATTGTAGTTACTTTCAGACATAGTGATAATTTACTTGATGTCTGTAGGGGGGGTTGGCCTATTTAACTTTTCCCAGATCAAGTAAACCCTCATAGGTACATTGTGGAGAGGTTGACAAGTTAGGAGATAAAGCACACAGAAACTTGCAAGAGCATTGGTTTGCATGTTGTGACAAATCTCAAATTGTTAGAAAATATGCTTAAAGAGAAGGAAATCGATGATAAGCTAGCCAAAATGCTTGGGAAGGCTTCAAATTAAAACGACAGATAAATATTTTGTTGAGTGTTGTTGTAACAAAACATTCATGTTTTGTAGCTTTTAATATGCCCTAATATTGTTTAAGAATTAGTGTCATAAATTACATGTATTTTAAACACTAAAATTTTATTAGATTTTGATTTTAATTGGGCTTTTTTAACAAATATTGTATTGTTAAAATAAAAATTTAATAGTGGCCATGTAATAATGATTAAGGTTATCTAATTACCTAATTTAATTATTTATAACTAACTGCTTATCCTTAAAAATTATCTCCACATATTAAAGAGAGCTATTGCCTTTCATTAGCACTCGCTGTGATCACAAAATAAAACACAAAAATGTAAAAATTCAAGTAAAACTTATTTTTTGCATCTAGTGAGACTTAAAATAGTACAAAACAACTTATCACCTCTTGTGCTTTAATGGCTTATTCAGGGTTCGTATGGTCCTTAAAAGTCCTTAAATTTTTCAAAAATGGTTTTTGGTCCTTAACCCTTTGCGACACGCATATTTAAAATATATTTTAATCTTTAAAAAAATGCCTTAGAATAAGTCAGATGGACTTACTTAAGTGCCTTTAAGGCTTGAAAAAATTTCTGCGCTTTAATTTTTTAAGGGAGAAGGTGGGATACCGTTTGTCCCACCATGCAACTAGCGCATGTCTTATAGCATATTGGTGTATAGCAGGGGAAAAAAATCATATGTGGAATAAATAAACAAAATAAAGCATGCATTCTAAAATATTCATTATAAACACACTAAAATGCATTTTGTACTTATTGCATATATGCATGACTTGTAAAATTCTGCATATGCACATTTTGCATATATATATTTAATATTTTTAAATTTTAGGAACAAAAGATATTATTTTCTTGAATATTATTTTAAGATTAAAATTTGATACTCATACATATGATACTAAATAAAATATGAAAATTGGCCCTTGATTCAAAAACATTTATATATGATTAAAATTGAAAAAAGTCATTTTTCATGAAAACTTTGAAAAACATGTTGTTTCATTCTTTTGTAAGCATAGGAGGCACTTCACATGTTTCACACATCCAAAATGTTCGTCGTTCTTCTTTCGATGTGCTGCAATATGCACATCTTCTCCTGCTGCTCCTTCTCTTTGGCGTGTAACTTACATTTTTTAGTCTCTTTTCTGGTTGTACGAACGGGTTTTTTAGTTTTTATTTGAACTGGGGATTTCAGTTTTAAGTTTTTTTTCAGCTCTTTCTTGCCTGCAAGTGCCATTAGACCTTCTATAACTGAGAGAAGAAAATCTTTCATTGTTTTTACATCATGATCTGGGTTCGCGAACAAACTTAAATAGAATAAATGCGTTTACTATACTCGCATCTAAAAAATTAAAAAAAAAATCATGTGCCACCCATTTCTTGCTTTTGCGGTTTATTTCATATAGTCCTTTCAGTTGATCAAATAAGTCGACATATTCCATATTCTTATTGTATGAAATAATGCTGTTTGGGCACAGTACTTTTTTTGTTGTTGTTGTTGTTATTGTTTTTCCATCTCGTTCTTTTCTATTAATTTCTTTCATTTCAATTGCCTTTTCCAAGCAAGACAGGATAGAAACGGATCTTTTATCTTTCCATTTTATGCAATAAATTGAATCATCGCTAACTGAAAAGTCTATATATTCTCTTGACATAAATTTGTCTTTTAAATTTTTGGGTAGATACTTTCAATTCATATTTACAATGCCACATGCATAGATGGCAGCAACATGCATAGATGGGTCTGTGTCTTTAAAAAGCGAAACAAATTATATAATTCCCTTTCTTCTTCAGCAATAACTTCAACCTCAGTTATTCTCTCCTGGATTTCAATTTCACCTCAATCAGAACTGATATCTGAAGCATTTGAGTCGCAATCGGATGGCAATTCAGCAAAAAGATCCAAAGCTTCCTGAGTTGTTAATTTTTTTCTAGACATTTTAGCACATCAGAGCATACAATGGATGTAAAAGCGCGCGCAATCACGAAAAAAGTAGATGCAAAAAAGAAAAGAAAAATAATCGTGAGTGCTGCCATCTATTGAGCGGAAACTCAAGTGTGTGGTGGGACAATTTTTAACCCACTTATTTCAAGTGCAAAATTAATGTTATAAAATATTGAATCCAATTAAGATTTTTGAAAATAAAATACCTTTGAATATTAAAAAGAATCATACATATCATAAATTGTATACCAAAATTTTTAAAATATTGAAAAATGCGAGATGCATGGATATCACTCTTGTGATCCTGTTTTGAATATTTTTTGCTTATAAACTTAAGCCCTGATATAGTAGTAACATCTACTGAGAAAAATAATAACTAAAATAGATTATTTTTAAAAGATTAGAAAATTTCTAACGGAAATTGCTAACTGAGAAAATAAATATTAATTAGGTGGGACATATATTGACCCACCATGCCTCAAAGGGTTAAAAGTCCTTAATTTTGGTCAAAATGAATAAAGGGTCCTTAATTTTGCTCATTTGACATTTCTTATCATTTCTAATGATTGGCATTCTAAGTGTGAATTGCGATTTCTCATGAATATGGAAATTAAAATTACACGACTTCTTAACCAATCTGTTGGCGGATTTGCGTTGCAAACGATAAAAAAGCAATTAGCTACCCTAGAAGGAAAGTATAAGGGGTCTGATTGGCTATTCACCCAATGTTTTGAAACAGGTGTTATCCATAAATTTAGGCAGATTGTGACGAAAGCGTGAAGCCGGAAGTTCTTTAAGAGGTGAAAATGATGATGAAGGTGCTTGAGAAAAAAAAAGGGGGGGGATTCTGAAAATATTTGCCAAAATTAGAACAATTCCAACCTGGAAGGCCACAACACTTCCTCGGACGCCAATAGGAACGAAGATGCCTGAAAAGTGCATTTTCAATAAACTGTGGCTTCATCAAGCTGACTTACAAAGACTGGATATTGATGGATGACAATCCTTATAAAGCTAAATGTGGGTCTTTTGTCTGAAACAAATTGAAATTTCTAGAATGGGAGAGTCAATGCGTTGAAAATTCACATGAAAGGTAAGTTTCGTTTTATCATTTCAATTTGTTTTTACACAGGTTTTGCTTAGCCTTAATTTCTGTGTTAGTTTAAATTAAGCCATACAATTAATTTTTGATCACCTTCTACAGGAGTTTATTCTCTTTTGCACATATATGTATGGGATATCGGGGTTATGAGTTTATTTCTGCAGAGGGTCTGTTATCGATTTCACGGGAAATCTGTTGGCTCCATTTCGATATTAGGTCGCCGAGGGCGAATTCGGTAACGCTAGCCGAGAAAAAGTGAAGTTCAGAAATACGTTTTGAAGCTTCAATAGACAATTAAGTATTTGGTTTAATCCTATGCACAAGGAATTTGGCGACTTTATGATGAGCAGTAACGGGACATATACGAAGTTTTAGCGATTTAAAAAAAAAAAAAAAATTGCTGTTGATAGTAATGCCTTATCTGGTTTAATCCTAGTTTTCGGTGCACAAAGGATTTGGCTACTTTTGGCGACTTTATGATGAGCAGTAAACGGGACATATACGATGAGTAGTTAATCGGGTCATTTTGGTGTTGGCGATAATTTTCAAAATCGCGCCAAGGCTGCACCGTATACTAGGATTTTACCAACTTCCCTAAATTCTGCCGCCTGGTGCGGCCATGAGAGCTCTGGCGCTGGTTCTGGCTTTATGTGAATAAAAAATTAGTTATTCTTAATTCAAATAGCACTAAATATAATCCTATGAGTATCATTAACAAAATCTATTTTTAGCATAAGAAAAGAAATTTCTGTTAAATCTCCGCTTATCAACATTTTAGCACATTAAACTTATATCTGTAATCGAATAATACTCTGTTATTTGGCGTCGCTGCATGAGTCATCACTCAAATTGTCATCCGTTGATAAACATGCGGGGAAGAAAGCAAAATACAATAAATAATGATTGGCTATTTCGGCATCAAGGATATAAAATATTAGTTGGTGTAAAATCAACAAATGTTTCAGTTTGAGATTATGCTAAGCAGATACGCAGCTATGGAGTCAAGTTACTAATCATACAAATTTATGCTAAAATAATTATTTCTTCAATAATGAGATATTTTATTTAGTGCCAAACTGAGATTAAGAATCGGGATTTCCGACATGTTTCTTTATGATGAGGGGAAAAATCTAATGCGCATGCATAAAGCATACCCCTTTCCTCCAAAAAAGCCCTAAAAATTGGTTGGTGGTGGCTTTGAAGTCTGGATTTTAGATCATTCCAGATATTGGATGTCCAGATCTCGGACTTTGTACTGTATATACTATATATATATAGTAAAAATGTATATTTTCAGTATACATTTTTTATTATATATATATAGATTTCTTATTATATATATATATATTATATATATATGCGATGCTTAATTTTACTAATGCCTTGCTTGTAATGCCCCTTTTAGGTGCAAAACATCTCTCTCTTCTCAACTGCAGAGTTTCTTCTAACAGTGTGCCGTGTCTGAAAGAATATTGCTTGGCAGCATTGTTTTACGCCAAGCAGAGTTTGGCTTTAGTGTAACCCTAAAGTTATTTCGTTTTTGCCTTATTAGTATGTATGATTTCTGATTTGATGTAAGAGCATATGGTTGCTCGCTTTTAGCTAAGTTACATAGGTAACTATAAGCACATGCATGTGCTAGTATTCAATAATGTTGTTTTTGTTAAAATAAATTTGTTATTGTTAATATTACAGTCCACTTACTGAAGTTAAGTTACATTAAATAAGTTTGAGCTATCTTCGGCAAGAACAAACAGTATCATGAATTTTGTCAAGTTAGAAGAACCATCTGCTTCAGGAAAAGATGTAACTGCTAATTCAACATCAATAAGTGTAGAAAATAATAAAATCAATTCTTTTCTTTTCAAATCTGAAGTTACAGATGCAGAAATATTGTGGGCTTTTAAGTGCATCAAAAGCCACTATTCTTTTAAATCGTGCGATGATATTGGGTCCGTTATTCCACTAAAATGTTCCCGGATAGTTCCATTGCAAACAATGGTTTTCATGTGGTGAAAAGAAATGTGCTTATATCTGTCATTTTGGTCTTGGCCCTTATTTTAAAAACTTTGTTACTAAAGCATTGTAAAAATGCTGAGTGTTTTACATTACTATTTGATGAGACTCTTAATCTGACAAATCAAAAGAAGCAACTAGATATTTATGTAAGGTACTGGCATCACGAAAATAAGGTCAGAACTCGGTACCTTACTTCTGCATTTATAGGGCATGCAACAAGTGAAATTATTTTATCCAAATTTTATGAATGTGTTGAAAACTAGACTTGTCAAAACTCTTACAAATATCGATGGATGGTCCTGCAGTAAACTGGAAATTTTATGATTTATTGCAACAGGACTTGACAAAGGAATATAACATTCAGTGCTTGACATTAGGGACATGTGGTTTACACATTCTTAACAATGCTTTCAAGCATGGGATGTCATCCACTGGCTGGGACATTCCATCATTCTTATCCTCCTTATTGGATTTTTAAAGATTCTCCTGCTGCAAGACGTGAAGATTTTTTAAGTATATCTGGCTTAAAAAGGCTTCCTGTGAAGTTCTGCTTTTACCGATGGTTGCAAAATGTCCCAGCAGTTGAAAGAGCCATTGAAATGTGGGATGACTTGCTACTGTACATTAAAAAAGTTGAAATGGGGAAGTTTAAAAAAAATTCATCGGAATCCTTCTCAAATATTTTGGAGGCAACTAAAGATAAAACATTTCTTGTAAAATTAAATTTTTTTCTCTCTCTGTCGAAAATATTATTGCCTTTTCTTGAATATTATCAAAGTGATAAACCACTTATTCCCTTTTTTGCTAAAGATATCTTAAAACTTGTAAATGATTGCCTTCAGCACATTAAAATTTTGAAACTAGAATATTCAAAAATAACCAAAGCGGAAAATCTTTATAAATTTAATTTTAATGATCCAAATTGTTATAATGATAAAAGTAAAGTTTATTTGGGGTTCATTGCTGAGCAGTTAATGAATGATAAATGCCGCAAGAAGGTCATTTCACAAGCTGAAAGTTTTGCATTGAAACAAGGTCAATAATGTTACAACAAACAAGGTTAACAATGGTACAACACTTAATGTCTAAATGTCCAATAAATTATTCTCTTATTCGAAATGCATCTTGTATAGACCCACGATTGATGGCTAAAAGTCCAGAAAAAGCCCAGAACAAAATGAAAATAGTTCTAACTGTATTAATGCGGTATAAACGTGTTTTACAAGATGATTGTGATGAAATTCTGCTGCAGTTTGGAGAGTTTCTAGACAAAGTAGTTAAGAGAAATTTACATGAATTTTCTGCTTTTGATCTTCAAAATCTTTCTCTTGACACATTTCTTACTTCTTATTTTCATGATTTTCACTATTCAAAAGTATGGAAAATAGTGAAAATGATTCTTATCTTGTCACATGGACAGGCCTCTGTGGAAAGGGGCTTCTCTGTAAATAAAGCAATGGAAATTGAAAATTTAAGTGACTCATCATACATTTTTCAATGCACAGTATTTGATTACATAAAATTTTCTGGAGGTATTCTTAATATCGAAATTAATAAAGAAATGAGATCAGCAGCAGCTTCTGCAAGGTCTAAATATATGCGGTATTTAGAAGAACAAAAATCTTTAACTAAATCTGAAAATTCAAAGAGAAAAAGAAATATTATTGAGGAAGAAATTGATTATATGAAGCAGAAGAAAAAATTTCTTCAAAGGGACATTAAAGATATTAATGAAGAAGTAGATGCTTTAGCAGATGAAGCCGAGACCAGCAGGAACATTGATTTGTTTATCGAAGCAAATGAACCTAGAAGAATAGTTAAAGAAAAGGAAATAGACATAAATAAATTAGATTTTAAAATATATGAAAAAATTTCAGATTTAAAAAAAGTATAAATGTTTTGTATCTTTTATTGTATAGTTTATTATTCTAGTATCTTTCAAAAAACCAAGGAAATAAATTGTATGTTTACGAATCTGTTATTTTAATCATGTAAATCTCTAAAATATCTGTGACTGTTATTAGTGTAAAATACACTTATACATGTTTTTCAAGAAATTATGTTCCTAATTTAATGTTATCTACTTCATAACTTGTAGGTGGTTAGTTTAATTTTCAAAATTGTTTTATGTTAAGTATTGAATTCAATTTAATAATAGTGCATAATACACACTTCTGTTAGTTTCTTAAAGTGAAATTAGAAGCATGAAGTCGGTTGTATGGATAATTGCTTTTTTCTATTCGTTTTTTTGTTTGCTGATAGGTCCTTAAATTTTTTCTTTGGTGGTCTTTAAAAGTCCTTAATTTTCGTGTAAGGAAATGTGTACAAACCCTGTTATTGGAACCTTAAAGTATATTAACTGGGTTACAACCTCTGGAACTCTACACGAAGCTATGACACAAACTGCAGCAAACAGAGCATAAATTTCAACACTTACCAAGTGTGCCCGCATCAGACCTTTCAGGTTTGTTCTTATCTGCTGGTCTCTCTTTAGACAAGCAGCAGCGGTGACAACATTCAGTCTTTTGTTATGAATCATGCTGATAATGATCTTACTTCTCATTTTAACTTATGCTGTTTGACATAAAATCTACCTGCTATTTACTAAACCTCTAGACTGACTGTTATTCACTAAAATGTGACAAAATGAGACCAAAAAAAATCAATATAAAGCTAACTGTTAGTAAAACGTAAATTTCACTTATCTTCTTTCAAATGTGTCCAACTATTATAAGTGTAAAATATTTAATGCTACTTGATAAATTGCATAAAGTTTATTTTATTCTCAAACTTATTAATAATTATGTTAATTAATTCATGTTTAGTAATAATGCATACTACTTAGGGATCTATTTTATTTTTAGGATGACATTACAAAAGTGAAATTCAGGCATAGATAATATTTTTAATTGAATTTATTCAGTTCCCATTTGCTCATAGGTCCTTAATTTTTTTCATTAATGGTCCTTAAAAGTACTTCATTTCTGTGTGCAGAAATGTAAGTTTCCATGCATTCGATTTAGCTACATAAAAAAAATTCGTAAACATTTCTTACTTTTACTTGCACTCTATATACAGTCTATATACATCGCAATAAGATTGTCCAGAAGGTCCACACCATCTATATATTTGTTGTCATATCCTACGAGTATAGGTTACATTATGGATACAGATTTGTTTTCTTTTCTTGAGTATGTCTTGGTCACTGAAGGGGGACAAATTGTATCTCAAAGTTAGCTGTCATAGCTATGATGGAATTGTTGTTCCATCAAATTACTGTGAAGCCATGTTCTTTATGAAATGGCTTTCTTTTGAAGAAACCATCAGGATTGCTGTTCATTCTCATTGCCTTTGGAAACATTTACTAATCCTGAATGGGAGCATAGAGGTTACTCAAACTATGCTTGTGTGTGGGTAGGACAAACACCACCATTAAGAAAGGTTAAATTTATCCTTTATTTCTCACAGCGTACGGCCGTTCCCGCACTTTGAGATACAGAGACCAGCACTTATAGTCTAAAACATAGAAAATAAGAAATGAACTAACTAAATAAGAACTAAAAGGCTTTATAGAGATTAGTAATGCGAAGATTGGCCTTTTGACACTATGTATATAGTGAGTGAAATGCAAAACTTACAATACGCCTTCAAATATCAGCAGGAACTAAGTTCTGGCCTTAAAGCAGACACGAACTGACTGTAAAGCACATGCATGGTAAGGCAGCAAGAAGTCTTTTTCTTCTCTTGGGTAAAAGCCACATCTTAAATACCTATACAGTTTGCAACCTCATCAGCATAAGAAATTTTACTCGTGCTTATTCTGGCCGGAAATGGAAAATGAGAGAAGATAGCAAAGTTTTAAAATAAAATAAATAATTATTAGTAAAACTTAAAATCCTTACAAAATATCCACTACACTTAAAAGATCTGCTAAACATCAGGCCTAGTCCAAAATTATTCAATGTCTCTGAAGATTTTCCTGTATATATATCAAAATGAGGTAAGTGCACTTCACAAACAAGAACACAAAGTTTAAGTTCGTAGGAACACAAACCACCAGACTTTGTACTTGAAATGAATTGGTTTTCCTTTGAGAAACATTTTTGCAAGAATGTCTACCAAAATACCAAAATAAGGTATCATTTTCTCATCTATAGAACAGTGTGTTGGGGGAAAAATATCTCATATGGCATGAAATCGGCATTTAAAATATTTAAATAGAGACAAACCTTAACCAGTTTTGGGGTTTTATCCAGTCTTAAATTATAATGCTTCCATTCAATGTTAAAAATCATTGTCTTGGATATTCATTATTTTGGAACAGTTTTTTTGTGGAATCTGTACAAGAAAATAACACTGCCTATGAAAAATCTGTGTATACTCACAGACACTGCTTTGAACCGACGTTGCATTTCAATACCAACAAAAATATATGCCATTATACAGTCTTAATGCCTTTTGATGCCTTTATACAGTCTTAATATTTTTATAAGATTGGCCTATCTTCATAAAATTATTTGATTGAATTTGCTTTCAATGAGATCTGCTCAAAATTAAAAGTACCAAAATAATAATTTATTTTTATAAAAGTTTTCAATGTAAGAGAAACAGGTTTTTTTTTTTTTTTTTTTTTTTTTTTTTTTTTTTTTTTTTCCAGTGGGTTAAAAATACTGCAAAATATAAGACTTTTAATGTTTCTTGCATGCTCTTATAAGCTGGTTTTCATGGTGTTGCTATTTGGCAAAGCAAAAAACTTTTAATTTAAATAATCTGCTTCTGAATAATACACTTGTCAATTTAAAAATAAAAATACTTTTTAATAAATTAAATCTTTTTAAAATAATTTATAAACTAAGTTTAAATTTATTTTGCAGCAGAGATATTCTTCCCCTTCTCCTTCCACTTCAAATAACTTTTCTTTTGCTGCCCCACCAATTATTGAGTGGTTAAGACCATTGAATACTGGTAGTTCAACTGAAGTCAATGGACCAGCTTCGTATGCATAGGCATGATGGTGCCACTGGGACTGTTTTAAGGTTTTAGACTGAGAAGAAAATATTCAAGTTACTTATGCATCTCATTGATGTTGAGATGTTCTTGTCTTTCAGGAAAGAATGTGTTATTTGCACTTATATCATAAATATTTAAAAATGTGTGTTGTACCCCACATAGGAGTTTCATTTTTTACACAAAATATTACAATGTGTTCTAACTGGTACAAAACAATTTGCTTTAAAAAAGTATTTTACATTCTTTTATGTGTTTTAGTGTAATGTGAATCTGGAAAGATTGTAATTTTTGAGTGTATTATTATTATTATTATTATGAGTATTTCTCTTTTATATATTTCTTTTTATTTTAGGATGATTTTTGCAGTTCTTGTGAGCAGAAAATTCACCATCGCAAAAACAATTCTTTTCTGGAATAAGAAATGCAGAATGTGCCAGTTGTAAGACAGAATGGAGATAACACTTTTTGTTCCCAATTCTTTTGTTATAATGTATGAAGAAGTATGTTTGCAATTTATAAATCATATTGCATAAATTAATTTACATTAAACAGCATAGTCATCTAATATTTTTACATAAATGGAACTGAAATATTGAATGCATTTTATACACTTTTGAACTTAACTCGTAATATATACATATATTAAAAAGAATAAAGGTTGAAGATGGAGTGCTGCCATTGTATTTTTCAGAAAATGGATCAATTCTTTTGATTTTTCTGTATATAAGCAGTGAGCTGTGGGAAGAAAAAGTTTTATTACGTTAGATAATTTTGAAGATAAATTTCTACATATAATTTACTTTATTATTAACCCCTTGCAGTGCCATTTACCTCAATGAAACTTAGGCCCAAGTGTTATGGGTCAACGCATGGTAAACAAGCCAGGCTGATGCTTGAAAACGGTACAATATGAGCTGAAACATAAATGCCTGTGTTATAGTCAGTTTTGCGTGATACTGTTGGCATGGAAGTAAACTTTAATCCTTCTGCCTTTCGTAGATATTATGAATATATTATATTTTGTAATAAATAAGTTTAAAAATTATATTTCATAAATAAACAACACTTCAAGTAAGTAAACTTTAAATCCTTAGTGGAAGTATGGTCCGTGACACTTAGCCGACAACCACTTAACCGACACCAGTTAGCCGACAAGGTCACTTAGCCAACAGGTCATTCAGCCGACACGGACAGTTAGCTGACAAGGACACTTAGCCGACAGGACACCTAGCCGACACAGACAGTTTGCCTACAGGACATTTAGCCGACACACAGAATTCGCCATCAGGGCATTTAGCTACAGGACAGTTAACTGTCAAGACATTTAGTCAACAGGACACTAAGCTGACAGTGACGTTTAGCTGCCGCATACCCAATAATTATTTAAATTTACAATCAATTACAAAATTTCTCGACTTCTCCATAAGTTCAATATTTAAGTTATTTTTTTCACCTATCATTAAAATTCAGTTTTCGATTCTTGAAGATCTCATACGCACTTTTAATTATTGTGTTAATTTAGCATTATTTGGTATGTATCGTGCTGCTTGGTGTATATTGGCCAAATTGAAAAAGTGCTGAAATTTCTCGTCAGGGAATATGAATTAAATTTCGAAAGGAAAAAGAATTTTTTTAGCTAAGTACAGCGGTCACTTAATTACATTTTAACTTAGAAGCTTTACGGATAGTTTTTGAAGATCCCATTCTTCAAAAATTATCCATAAAGTTTCTTCATTTAATCAACTCAGTTCTTTTGAACACTTTCACATCATAATAACTTTTTCTTAATTATTTTCTTGTTTACTTAAAGATATTAATTTTCCAATCTCGCTCTTCCAAATGCGTTCAAATTTCTAATACCTTTATGTTTCATTACTATTTTACTCAATCACATCCATGTTACATTCCTTCCCTTCTTACAAAATCGTTTGGCTCCTCCCACTAAATGAAAATTTCCTTTCCCTGTCGTGAAAAATCTGAATAATGCAATAAAAATTATTGTTATTCTTGAATTACACTTTTTATAGAAATATATGGTGGTGAAGGGTTAGTTTAGCAAATATATTTTATTTTGTTATTAAAAACAATTTAAAAAAGTGAATTTTTAAGACCAGCAAAGGTATAAATTATTTGTGGCCTTTATAATTTGCAGTTCATGCCGCCATCCCTGAGATAAAAATTCTGTAACATTTTATTGACCACGCTTCTCGCTTAAAGTACTTATATAGTTTAATGTTTATAGCCCTAAATTAGTGCATAATGTTTAATGTAGAAGTAAAATATTCTTTCAAGTTTTGTTTTATTCATAACTGAAGCTGAAGAAGGAGGCAGCTACAAACAAAGTAGGGCGGAGCAAAGCGTCAGATCGTCAAAAGTCACCATAATGTGATGTCTTCTATCGATGCTAGATTTAACTAGATCAGTTATATAAATAGATAATATTATTTACTATATTTTGAAAGTTGCGATGTGTAATTTGCAATATAATATGTTATATTAATGTTTTTCTTATAAAATATCACTTTTCTCAATATCTGTTAAAAATGTATAAATTTTCATTTCATTTTTCATTCATATTATTTTTTCCCCTCTTTCATTCCTTCCCCTTCTTGTTTACGGTTTAGCTACATGTTAATGGGAAAATTTTTGGTGCCCATTTTCCTGAATGTATCAATAAAGTTCTAGCATAAAAAGGCAATTTTCATTGGAAAAGACTGGTTATATATTAAGTAAAACGTTCACTCACTCAGCAGCTGCCGAGCGGTAAAGTCACTGAACATTGGCAGTTCGGTCCGAATTTAAATCCCGCGAACAGACAGGCTGTTTTCATGGTTTTTCCTATGTGTAACTTGTATATGAGGCAGTTTTCCTTAGAAAGTCCTCCACAAAGGCATCCCTACCCTTAGGCAAATAGCCCTCTGGCTTTGCCGTAATTACATAAACCAAACTTACTTCTGTTAGGTGGCCGCTAAACCAAAAACGAGAAAGAGAAGGAATGAAAGAGAAAAAAAAAATATGAATGAAAAATTAAATGAAAATTTATACATTTTTAACAGATATTGAGAAAAGTTATATAAGAAAAACATTAATATAACATATTATTATATTGCAAATTACATATCGTGACTTTCAAAACATAGTAAATAATATTATCTATTTGCATGACAGATATAGTTAAATCTAGCATCGTTAGATGGCACTAAATTACGGTGAATTTTCATGATGTGTCGCTTTGCTCTGCCTTACTTTGTGGCCCCTCCTTCTGCAGCTTCAGTTATGAATAAATCAAAACCTTAAAGAATATTTTACTTCTAAATTAAACATTATGCACTAGTTTAGAGCAATAAACATTAACCTAAGTAAGTACTTTAAGCTAGGGGCGTGGTCAATAAAATGTCACAATATTTTTACCTCAAGAATGGTGACATGAACTGCAAATTATAGAGGTCACAAATAATTTATACCTTTGCTTGTCTTACAAATTCACTTTTTTAAATTGTTTCTAATAGCAAAATAAAATATATTTTGCTAAACTAACCCTCACCACCATATGTTTCTATATAAAATATAATTCAAGAAGAACAATAACTTTTATTGCATTATTAAGACTTTTCAGAACTGTCTACTCCTACTATGCTGAGGACAGCAGCAAGTTGAGTCTAGCCTACGATGTCTCTCGAGTAACTGCGCTTCGTAACACGAAATGAGTGATCCCACCTCATTGCGGATTCTCGCACAATATTCCTACATGCACGTTATACCTATACAGTAACTGCCAAATCACTATAATTGCTCATCACCTCCTACTTCGCTAAAATGAAGCCAACCAGCCGCTCGCTAAGATGGATACTGCTGATCTTGTTCGAAAGCACGTGGCTGCTCTTCCGGAGGATATTATTAGGTTTGGAAACAAAGTGTTAGTAAGCAACTGGAGTGAGCTGTTGAATGCGGACACATTATCGTTGGAAAATTTTATGAGTGTACTACATTCAATTGAAACCCTAAAAGCTTGCATATGTTCGATGGAATTGAACTTTGAGGATGGTTATTCTGGTGCTAGAACCGAACAGGACCAATTTGAAATTACATCCAGGTACCAGAAAAGACGAAGGATTGCCGAGGGTCTTCTATAGTTATTCAAAGGTAAGTGTGAGTCTTACGGTATGCTAATAAGCTATTCATCCTAAGTATGCTAATATGTCCCGTGCTTGTGAAGTATGTATTGTTGAAAATGCTTCTAGTGTTAATGAATGTATGCCTAAGGTTGATGTTGTTAATCCTAAATCTGAAAATGCTGCAAATAATGTTGTTCCTAAGCCCAAAAGGCCTTCAAAACGAAATAAGCGTCCAGTTCAGGAAGTTACGGACGCAAAGGGAATATTCAGCCTAAAAACACAACTCCCTACAAAAAAAATTCGTAGGGAGCAATTATAGTGATTTGGCAGTTACTGTAGGCCCTCAAAGCTAGTGAAATGTAATGTAGACATTAATATTAGTAATAAGTTTAATGGTTTGAATGACAACGAAAACATGAATGTGCAGGGTGAGCAGGAGGTTGTTGAAATTCTGCCCCCTAAAGTTAAGCCGATAATGACAAAACCTAACATTAAATTCTCAGATTTTGTAAAGCAACTCAAAACTGATACCAAGCTTGAAATTGTAGCAAAAGTAAATGGAGAATTTCTTAAAATTTAACGGAAAAGACTGTTAAAGTACTGTTCAGATATCTCCCTATCAATTGTCCGAAGGACGAAATCCAGGAGGAGCTTGAGGCTTTACGATATAAAGTCAGAAAGGTGTCTCAGGTGCACCGCTTAAAATCTAAGGTGCCTATGCTACTTTTTCAAGTGCAGCTGGAAAACAAGCCTGGAGTTGATAAAATTTATGATTTGTCGTATTTCATGTGTTTTTATGTATCTGTTACTGCCTATAATAATATCGGAAGTGTTGTGCAGTGTCACAACTGCCAACACTTCCACCATTCCGTTGAGAACTGCAAACTCAAACAGAATTGTAAAGTTAAAAAAATTGAAGATGTGTTATGCTGCAACTGTAAATAGCCAGGTCACACCGCAAATTATTGTGGGTGTCCTACGTTTCCTAAATCTTATAAAAATACTTCTGATAATGCTAAAAATGTTACTGATTGTGTTAGTTCAAATGCTAAAAATGAAAATGTTAGTGCAAAACCTGTCACCCCAGGCGTTAGCTATGCTAGCACAGTTAAATGTAGTTTTTCTGTCCCTACTGCCAAGCCGGATAATGATAAAGGTGTGAATAAGGTTAAAAGTGTGAAGGATGGAGCTAAAGACTCTGGTCCCGCTGCTGTTATGGACATACTCAAACTTATAAAAGAGTTAGTTGATATATTCAAGGGTCTTCCTTTTGGACTATGTTCATAAAGTGATGGACAAACAAATTCAGAGTAGAGCCGGAGTAAATGGCTTGATCAGTTTCCCCTCTTTTACTGTGTTCTGCAGAGCTGCTGCATATCTCAAAGCCCATGTCCAGATGTGTGGTAAGTTGAAAGAAGTGTCTTTTTTTGCAGTGGTCTAGTAGTGATTTCTATCACACATGTGATTTTGATTCTGTCCCATTCACTTATTGAGATCGGATATATTTAAACGAAGATGTGCTGTTTTGATAGATAGCAGAGAATTTGTAAATCTTAGTTATAATTTTCTATATGTGAAAT